TGCATTCCCACCAACAGTGTGCCAGGGTTGCAAGTTCTCCACCACATCCTCATCTCCACATCCTTATCACGAATTGCTATCTTTGTTTTTTTTCTTTTTTGAATAATAATCATCCGGACAGGTGTGAGGTGACCTCTCATTGTTTTCTATTTGCATTTCTCTGAAGATTAGTGGTGTTGAGCATCCTTTCAAATGCTTATTGGCCATTTGCAGGTCTTTCTTGGATAATTATCTATTCAGGTTTTCAGTGGTTTTAGGTTGCAGGAATTCCTTATATATTTTGGAAATTAACCACTTATTAGATATATGGTTTGCAAATATTTTCTCCCATTCTGTAAGTTGTCTTTCACTCTACTGTTTTCTTTACTGTGCAGAAGCTTTTTAAGTTTGATGTAGTCCCATTTGTCTATTTTTGCTTTTGTTTCCTTTGTTTTGGGGCCATATGCAGTTTCTTAATCATTGCTAAGACCATTATCATTAAGCTTTTCCTCAAATGTTTTTTTCCTAAGAATTAGGCAGTTTCAGGCCTTGAGTTTAAGTCTTTAATTTAATTTGTGTTGATTTCTGTATGTGGTAAAAGAGAAGGATTCAATTTCATTCCTTGACATGTGTTAATGCAGGAATATTCAAAGGTAAAATGATTGGATTGTGAGAGCTGCAATCCAATCAGTCCATCCTAGTTTGAATGGATTCACTGTGTGGTCACTGTAGGCAGGTGAAACATGGCTGAAGGAGGGGAGTCACTGGACGCATGTCCTAGAAGAGTTGTTCTTCCTGTGGCCCTTTGGCCCTTTCCTCCCTCCCATCCTCTCTCCTCTTCTACACCCTCTCCTCCCCCTGTCCTGACCCCTCCATGAGCTAAGCAACTTTCCTCCACTGAACACTTCTTCCATAATGTGCTCCCTTACTTTGGACCCAGAGCAATGGAGTCAGTTGAGAATAGACTAAATATCAGAAGTCATGAGCCAAAATAAACTTGCCCTCCTCTAAGTTGTTCTTGTTGGGTACTTTGGTCACAGTGAGGGTAAATCTGATGAACACAGCATGTGAATTTCAATTTTCCTCGCATCATTTGTTGAGGAGGCTATATTTTCTCCAACATATACATTATACACACTTGGCACCATTGTCAAAAGTCAGTTGACCACATATGAATAGAATTATTACTGGAATATGAATTTTGTTCCACTCATCTATGTGTGTGTCTTTATGCCAATACCACAATTCTTTAATCACTATAACTTTTTAATATATTTTGGAATCAGGACCTGGGAGGCTCCAACTTTGCTCTTTCTCAAGGCTTATTTGGCTATTTGGGGTCTTTTGTAGTTCCACAAGAATTTTTGGATTTGTTTTCCTTTTTCTTTTCTTTTTTTAAATTTATTTCTTTCATACATGACAATGGTGGAATGCATTACATTCATAATTATCCATTCACAGCACAATTTTTCATAACTCTGTATATAAAGTATGTTCATGCCAAATTATACCACTATACATGAGCTCTCTTATTGATTTTTTTTTCAAAGATGGTGGAAGGAGATGGTCATCATTATACAAAATATATATATGAAGATGTGAATTTGGTGTCAACATACCTTATATATAAACAGAGATATGGTAAATTGTGGTATAAAGGTGTATTAAGAATTGGATTTTGTTTTCTACTTCTGAAGAGAATGCAATTAGTAGTTTAATATGCCCTGAATGTATAAATAACTTTGTATTGTATGGAAAATTTAAGAGTGCTAAGTCTTCCAATCAATGAACATGAGACGCTCTCTCATTTACTGTATCTTTAATTCCTTTCATCTGTGCTTTGTAGTTTTTAGCACACAAGTCTTTTACCTCCTTAATTAAAATTTTTCTCTGAGATATTTTATTGTTTTTGGTGCCACTTGAAAATTCGATTGCTTTCTTAATTTCATTATCAAGTACTTTGCTGTTTATCTGAAAGAATAGAAATCAGGATCTGGAAGAGATATCTATACTCTCCTATCAATTAAAACCCAAGTCATGATAGAGAGGATGCGGAGACAAACTAAATGTCCACGGAGGATGAATGGACAAATAAAATGCATACAATGAAAGATGCATATGAGGAAATATTATTTGACATTAAAAAATAGAAAAGTCTGCAGTATGATGCGACATGGATAAAACTTGAGGATCTCATGCTAAATGAAATAAGCCAAGTACAGAAGGACAAATGCTGTATGATTACACTTCTACTAGGTCTCTAAAATAGTCAAACTTATAGATTAAGAGTGGAATTGAATGGTGGTTAAAAAGGCCTAGGGAAGTGAGGGAAATGGGGCATTACTAATAAATGGGCATAAAGTTTTACTCAAGCAAAACGAATAAATTCTAAAGATACACTACTGTACAAAGTTATTATTTATGCAATTGTACTGTACACTTAAAAACTAGACAATAAAGTAGATCTCCTGTTGTTTTCTTACTACAATAAAATGACATTTAAAATAAATACATAAAAGAAGATAAAATGTGGTGTATTAGTAATTTCAAGTCAGTAAAAAGTTAAAGCATAAGTTAATATGCAATTTGCAGTCTCGTATGTATATAATATTCACAAAAACAAGGAATCAAGCTTGTAAACATATGAAAATTACATTGTTGATATTATTCCACTTTGAGAATAATGACTCAAAGTCTATTCAATAATTTTAGGTTAAGGCCTGGCACTTTCCATAGACCAGGGCTTTTGCATATCTTGCCTTATGATCCCATAAATATTAGTGATAGTTTTTCTTATTTTACTAAAGGGCAGCAGTAGGGAACCCTGGATACTCACTGTCAATGTGCATACGCACTAGAAATGGCAGTTGATGTCTGCAGCAAGCTGTTTTGCATTGGTAAATGGACTTTGCGGCTGGCACAGTTTAATTTCACCTGAGTTTATAATGCCTAAAAGTTGTTTTAAGTGCTATGATATATGATAAAAGCACTAACTAAATGTCACTTTACATTTATGCAGTTTTCAAGTTAATCTACACATATTTCTAAAATAAGGAACATCTTCATTCATTCAAGGTAAAGTCTGGTCTCACCTAGACCTTGCTGGGCTGTGAGATGGTTTCCTTCAGGTCCTTCTCGAATCTGCTTCCTAGCAAACCATCTCTCAACTCTGCATAGCTGATGGGATTTTAGCAGGTTGATGAAGGGCCATCTCTTCCCTGTTTATAATTTGAGGACTTCAACCTTGAGTTTATTCCCACAAATTAAAATTTAAAAATCCTAAATGTAAATGATAAAGTCATATATGATGTTCAAAAAATGCATGCTGCATGCTGTGCTGCTTCATGAAACAAAGATATCCAATGGAGGTGAACATGATTATGATGCTATAGAAATATTATTTTTRTAAATTTTAACCAAGAAATAACAACTTAAATTTGCTACTTAAATATATATATATATACACATAGAATTTATAATAATAATAATTTAATACATATTATACATTTATATTATTACATACTGAGTTATTAAATACACACATTTCAAAACATATTTTAATTTGGTTGGTATTCTAACTCTTTGCATGTGTGAAAATATAAATATTTATTTGTGTCGACAAAATAAATAATGTGTCTTTGGGATAAAATCTTAGCAGGATAAACATAATTAAATAAAAATGAAGGGTACTGTCACTGGAAGGCATTACAGACCAAAAGGTTACAACTTTTGCTTTTAAAAAGAGTCCCTTCAGATGCATGCAAGGAATATATTGATTTACCTATGATCTTCTCTGTAGTAGTATTTTTATATAACTGTAAGTATCTTGCAAAATTAAGACAATCTACATTAAATGAGTCATTTTTTTTCCCAAAAAATACACAAAATAGAGGCCAGAGATGTAGCTCAATGGTAAGTATTTGCCTAACATGTGCAAGGCCCTGGGTTAATTTCCCAGCGCCACAAAAAAAAAAAAATAAAATGTATACAACATATCATCAGGGAATATAAAACTATGCAGTTGTCTTTAAAACTGAGGATGTTTAAAATAGAATATGAGTTCCTTAGGACTGCAAGTATTTCATTTACTAAATCTCCTGTGACTCGAGTGTAACAAAATGTGAAGATAAATTTATTACGTATCAAAACAGAGTCTTTAAATAATCACAGAGTGGAACTGCTACAGTTTGAATATGGTTTAGGTGTGTCCATCCAAAGGTTCACAAGGTGGAGAATTGGTCCTCAAGGTGGTGACCCTGGAGATGGTGTGGATCTTTAAGAGGTAGGGCCTTGAGGGAGGTCCTCAGGTCAGTGGGGACATGCCCTCAGTAGAGAGGAGGTGTTTCTCAAGGGGCACTGGCTATTTCTCCAGAGAAGGTTGTTATGAAAGCCTGAGCTGGGCCCTATCCAGCCTCTCTACTTCCTGTCTGGCTTCCTATTGGTTGTGATTTCTTCTTCCTGTATGCATCCCTACCATCCACAATGAGTTCATCACTAGAGCTGAAGTGCCATGCCCTTGGACTTCCCAAAACTGTGAGTTGAATAGACCTCTTTTATTTATAAAGTTAGCCTGCCTCAGGTATTTCCTTATAGTAATGCAAAATAGGCAAATACAGGCATCTTAATTATAAATATTTATGAATTAATGAAATGGGAAACCATTGATGTCTATAATTCAAAAAAATGATGAATTTAATAATCATGGTCATCTTGACTCAATCAACCACAAATTCAAGATTCCAGTTTTCCCACCAAATAGAAATAATGACAGTATCCTTAACAAATTTTTGTAATGAAAAAAATCATGGTAGAAACAAACAAAATGAACACATGATAGTTCACAATGAGGTAAAGAAGGGAGAAAAATATAAATATTACATACACATTTTGCTAGTGAAAATTCTGGGGCAGACAGGAAAGAAACAAATAGTACATTAGAGGAAACTTCTATCAATACAGTCTAGATGCACGGGATGCAGTGAACACAAGCACCTACTAGCCAGAAAAATAATAATACTTACTGGAGAAAACCACATCACTCTAAGAATCCAAATCGTAAGAGCAAGATTCACAACAAGGATGATGAGTAAGAGAAGAACGAATAAGTAGAGGCAACGCTTTCTCCAGCCATAAATGCCAATTTTGTAGACACACTGGTTCTCGGGCCTCTCTATGGGGGTGCCTTCTGTGGAGGTTGTGTACTGTTCCCGCACCATCTGCCATGGGAGGTGTGCAGGAGGAGAGAGAGAGGAAGCAGGGAGGGGGAGGGGGAGGGGGAGAGAGAGAACTTATTTGTCAATACTGGTTTGCTACCAGTGGAGGAAAAAAGTTTTTAACCACAGTAATCAATTTCCAGAATTAATAGTTTTTGAAAAAGGAATGAAATATTACTTTGAAATGCATCACATGTTTTAACCACAGGGAGATATTTAATCTATCATTTAAAATATTTTAGATATGAGAAATTCATTTGAAATCCAGTGACCATATTTTCAGGTTTTAATCAATAAACACAATACACATATACAGCTTTTAAAATTCTGCAGGGTTAAACTTGGAATTGAAGCATCGACCTGCAATAATCAAGTTATCAAGTTCAGTGGGAAAAAAATCAAACTGGTATCTATCTATGTGTGTTTGTTTGTGTGTGTGTGTGTGTGTGTGTGTTCCAGTTACTCAATTTTATGTCAAATAATTAAATTATATCTTCCTTCAGTTAATTACTCAGAATTAAAAAGCTCTTTTCAAGATGTCTAACACACCAACCTTTGCCTATAATAAAGTTCTCAAATATTTACCCACTTTAAGACAGATCAGAATACATTTTATATACAAATGTTTACAAATACTCATTGTTTACACAAATTAGAGTAAGAGTTTTAGCTCTATGAAGAGATTTTAAAAAATCATTTTTTCCCTTTACACAAAGAATAAAAGAAACTGCTTTTTTTCCATAAAGGGAAAATTAGAAATTATGAAGATTTTGTAAATGTGGTGAAGTGATGAATCAGAATATAGAATACCCTTGTCTGGGATGTTTTTATGCAGAGTTTTTATGTTTATTTTTAGGGATGATTGGGATGTGTCCTTATTGAAAAACAAGTCATGGTCTAAAATAAGTCTTTAAATCTCTTTCCAACTTAACGATAGGCATTTTCTCATGTTGTAACTGACTTTATAAAATTGTTTCCACTAGTATCCTCAAGTTCACAGGACTGACCTTGATGATGATTTCATAAAGGCGTTACTTAGGCATTTCTTTGACTTCCTTCAGTCTTCTCTACATTAGACAGTGCAACACTATCCACTTAGTTACCCAAGCTCAGATCCCTGATGCTAATCCTCTTTTCCCTTCAGCCACACCTTAGCAGGTCCTATCAACTGCCCCTTCCACATACATCACTGGCCTGTCCACTGCTCCACATTCCCGTTGCTATCACACTAGTTTGAGCTGTGGTGAACTCTAATCTGTGTTGCTGCAAACTCCATTCTTTCCCCCGGAGTCTGTTTTGCAGTGATGCAGACCAGGCACCCCACCTCCCACTCCATAATTGTAATAATTAAGCTCTCTCCTGGCCAACAAGATCTTTATGAAGAGCATCAATAGGCTTTCACAGGAGTTCTGCAGAGAGTGCAATGTGGTTTAAAGCTTCCTCTTTCTTGTAAATGCCAGGTGTGTAGACATAAGGTGTGATAGACTGTCTCAAGAGAGCTCACTGTACAAGTTATGTCTCTGTTTTCTGTGTAAAAATGTGTGAGGCCTCTGCCTCGCCTAAAACTATGGGACAAAGAGTAACTGTTGAGTACCCACCCATAGTCATGTAACCACCCCACTGAGTATAAATCTAAAAGAATTTTCAGACTCAGGGTCCAGAGATTTTGAGGCATTAGTCCTTGGATTGCTGAAGCTTAAATAAACCTGTTTCCTGAAAATTCTTCCAGTATCCTGCCGCAGTCCGGCTGCAGCAAAATAACGGGGGGGGGGGGGGGCACGAACAACTTGTGTTCATTGATACAGCAGGAGTGGGAGCCATATATTGTAGGACAGGAGGGGTATATATACATTCCACACAGCTTATCTTAATTAACATAAACTAGATACAGCAGTCAACCAATAAGGAGTCTCCACACTTAATGGCTTGCTGGCGTTACTTCACAAACCACTCCCTCTGCAAAATGCCAGGCGCCATCCTGACTTGTTTACAGACCCTAACAGTATCCAACCTCGTCTGTCCTATATCAGGAGTACTGACATGATTAATAAAACTAGCAAAGTTTTCCAAGAGTGTGGGTATGTTCCTAATTCTATATGTTCCTATTCCTGTACATACTTTCTTATTGTTGAACAAATTATCTAAAGTTTAGTGACTTAGCACAATACAACTTTATCTTATAGCCCAAAGTCCCCAAATATACAACTCTATGACCAAAATCAAAGTGTGGGCAGGGATGCATTTCTGTAGAGGGTGTAGGTGAGAATCAGTTCCTTCCTTTTCCCAGCTTCTAGAGGCGGCCTGAGTTCTTAGCTCTAAACTATATCCTTGTCAAATCTCCATCTCTGACTCTGGCTTTCCTGCCCACTCCTCATAAGGAACCTCATGATTACACTGGGCACCCCACTGTAAATCATCTAATTTAGGATGATCTCTCCATCCCAAGAGCCTTCACACAATCACATCTGCAAAGTCCCTTTTACCAAGAACGTACCCACAGATTCTGAGGGTTAGCAACATGGACATTTTTGGAAGGCATTGTTCTGCCTACCATAAAATGCTTTTGTTCATACATAAAATTGAGTATATTGGTATTCACTTAAGACAATTTTGTCTTGGGCTGATTGCAACTCTGTTACTCAGGCCCCCCAAGTCAGTGATGGGAAACTGAACAGTTTATTTGTTCATTTGTTTATTTCCTCTCATTTTTTAGAATGTAAACTCCACGAGAATATTTTATGCTTTATTCATCACTAGATCCTTCATTTAGTACAACAGCAAATAATGGGCACAAAATAAAAACTCTAAATGAATGAATGAACTGTTGAGTTTGATAGATATTAATTGAGCTACCTTCCAGGAATGATGCTACAAATGGAGGCTAGATTGACAGCAGCAAATCCTGTGAAGTATATACTAAATAAAATATTATTGATTTATGGGTATGTTTGATCTGTTAAGAAAAGATTCAGTACTTGTTCTTAAACAATTATTAGGAACGAGGTATTAATCTAAAGTAGGATGCAGACTGATGGAGAAAAATAAAATGTCTCTAGTATTTTAGATATGAAAAGAATATGAATGAGGATATACTATACCAGATTAGATAAACAGTTTAGAAGTGTGCATGAACCACAGTCAATGGCCTCCTGAGGGCTGAGGTCATGCACACTGCATGTGTCCTGGAAAACRGAAGATGCTTGCCGAATGTTTCCAGCCCAGCCCCATTTCTTCCTCTTCCTTATAGCAAAATAACTATGGTCAGTTGATTATACTCAGTGTCTCTTCAATTCAGTTCTGTGACTTGCAGTATCTCCAGAACCCACATCCAGACCTACCACTTCATTGAACTTGTCCTTGCAAAATCACTGTTGACTTCCACATTGTTAAACAAGATGTTCATTCACAGGACCTGCAGCCATTTCCTCCTCCTCCTTGAAATGCTTTTTGTACCTGGGATCCAGAAACTTCACCTGGCTTCCTTCTCCCTGCAAAGACTTCTTATTCTCATTGACGGTTTCTGCTCATCTCCTTACTCTGGGCTCAGTTTTGAACTTCTCATTTTCATAGCCACTTGCCCCTATTATAGATGCACATTTAAATTGGGGATTCCCTTATGTATATTCCTAGGCATGGAGTCACCCTGGACCAAGATCCCCACCTGAACCCCAATATCCAACTGGGGATCTGAAACTTTGCAAAACTCTTCTCCCTGACCTATTCCTTGTAATATTTTTTTTCCATGTAACTAATGGGAACTTCATCCTTCAAGCTGTTTGAGCCAAAAATCCTAGAGTTGCTCGTAGTTCTTTTTTCTTTTCCATAGCACATCCACTCTATCAGCAAGTCTTCTAAGCACCACGAAGTCTAGAGTGTGATTTCTACCATCTCCTTTCACCTGAACTATTGTAATGGCCACGGAACTGTTCTCAGCCTCCATCTCTAAATCTTTTACTGTCAATTTCCAACATAGAGGCTGTCGCTGTTATTTTAAAGCATAATCACACCTCACTTCTGCAAACAACAACAAAAAAAAACCTCTCGGAATAAAAACCAAAAATCCTTATTGCAACTGGCATGGTTCCTCCTGCCTCCACCCCCGTCACCACCTTCCCTGACCCCTATGGCTCTAGTTCATACTCGTCTATTCATAGGTGTATACTCAAGTGTAACCCCACTTCAGGGGCTCTGATCACCATTCTCTCTACATGGAAAGTCTTCTCCCAGATAACTACATGACTCAACTTCCTCAAATCTCTGCTCCAAGTTCTCTTATCAGTACAGCCCCTCCACCAATGCCACCACAAAGCTGGCTATGTTCCCTTCTGCTTAATTTTTTTCCCCATGACACTTAACTGTATATTACACACTATATATTTTCCTACTCATTTTCCTGTAAATGCTCATCCCAAGAGGGTAGAGTTTTGAACTGTTTGTTATTTTGTTATATCTCCAGCACCTAAACAATACCTGGCATATAGTATAGGTAAGTACTTACTGAATAAATGGAATAAAAACATTGAATGAACAAACAGCCAGGTTACTTATATAAATTTAAAGATAAAACTAACAATAAGATAAGCTAAGAGTTACTTCTGAGTTTCCTTGAACTTGTATAATTAGAAAGTGAAAACCTACTCACAATGGAGAATATTAGGTTGATTACTAGTTTACTGAGGAGACTCAGCAAGCTCCATTACAATCTGGCAGGTGCCTTCCAGGGAAAGGGAAACTGGGGGTTGTGCTTCCCTGGTTTGTGAGTCACCCCACATATGTGCACTTTCTTTTTGACAGCTTGAGTAAGAGGCTGGACCACTTCCTGAGTAGAACCCATGGAGGACGTGCTGACTGTTGGGGGCTCATGAGTTGCTTTCTAATCCTTCCTTTCTGAGCTGCATTTACCAAAATCATTTCTATTTGATCACAAACATGTTTTCTTTTAGATTTCCAGTTTTATTTCTTATTATGTCATGTTTTATGGTTGCCTTTTTATACTACTCTGG